GAAACCCGAAAAAGAAAATCATTTGGGGTGACGTAGTACCTCCTTTGGCTATTTACGTTCGACTTTTACCAGATTAAAGTATATTTTAGATTTTTTGTGAAAATTGATAATGAAAAATTATACACTTTATAGCACTTCCCGGAAAATTCTACCCCTGTTTCATATATAATTCTTTAAGATTCGGTCAATTATTTCATTTTTGCTGTTCTTGCACAGCAACTGATTAAAACTTTGTAAAGTTTTTGTGGAGTTAATTTTACTGTTTCCATATACTTTTATAACTTTTGACTACCTGTCAAATAAATAATAATTGACAGAATCTGTTTTACATTCCATTTCTTGCGATTTTTCCCATCCGACAGTTTTTCGTCATTTCCTCTACTTTAGACGTTCAAAGAAATATGTTTTTTTTAAGAAACAAAAAAATCGCTTACATGTCCTTGACATTCTTTCAAAATCCGTTGGAATTTTTAAAATCGGTGAATTTTATGAAAAACTACAGCATTTTTTATAAAAATAGTCATTTTAGCCCAATTTTTGGTTCTTTTTTTTGTTTTTAGAAATTTTTTACTGTTTTTTTTTACTACCGCAAATTGATGACTACTATCGTCTTCCCTATTAAAAAACAAACAAAATTATATATTATAAAGTTGTCTAACAACAAATAGAAACATTATACACGCGGTACAAGTTTGGGGTGTTTTTATACCCCGCTTGGCCTTTCACGTATGAGAAAATTCATAAAGACTCTCTAGGATTAAGAGATTGGAGGAAAGAAAGAAAGGAGGGCAGCGCTTACAAAGAAAAGAGACAGGAGTTTAGGGAGCTGTGTAAGAGAAGGAAGGAAGAAGAGAACCAGAGATGGGAGAGAAAAGTAGAGGGAGCAAGGAGGGAGGCGGAGGTATGGGAGATAGTAAATAAGGAGAGGAAAAAGAGATGGGGAATTGAGAAAGGAATAAAAGAAGAAGAATGAAAAGAACACTTTATGAAGTTGTTAGGAAAGGTAGAGGGGAGGGTAAGGATGGGGAAGGAAGGTGGGAGGGAGGAAATAAAAAGAGAGAAGGAAGAGGAGATAAGCCTAGAAGAAATGAGGAGAGTTATAAGGAAGTTAAAGGATGGAAAGGCAATAGGAAGGGATGGGATTCCAGGCGAGGTATGGAAGCGAGGGGGAAAGGAGTTGGAGAATTGGGCATGGAAATATATGAACAGGATATGGAAGGGGTGAGGATGGTCGGAAAATTAGAAGGAGGGAATAATCGCGCCAATAATCGTAAAGAAAGGAGAAGAAAAACGGGCGGAGGAGTACAGAGGGGTGACAATAATGCCGTCTTTATATAAGGTGTACACGGCCATTCTGGCGAGGAGAGAGGAGATAGAGAGGAGATAGAGAGAAAGAGAATAGTACCACAGAATCAGACAGGTTTTAGAAGGGAGATGGGAACAATAAACAACATCTATGTGCTGAACTACTTGATGAACAGAAGGCTAGAGAAGAAGGAGAGAAAATTGATAACATGTTTCGTGGACCTGAAGGCGACGTTTGACTCGGTAGATAGAGGAGTGCTAATAAAAGCTATGAGAGAAAGGGGAATAAAGGAAGGATTGGTGAGAAAGACAGAGAAGATTCTAAGGGAGACGAAAAGTAGGGTAAAGGGAGGGAAACGAAATGGGAGAAGTGTTCTGGACGGGCAGGGGGGTAATGCTAAGACTCCATAGACGCGGAAACGCCGTGCGGCAGAGTGCGTTGACCAATCACAAATTTTGATTTTGCCGCAGGCGACTTGCGGCAGCCTTCTGATTGGTCAACGCACTCTACCGCACGGCGTTTCCGCGTCTATGAAGTCTTAGCATAAGGCAGGGGTGCCCGTTGAGCCCGTTACTGTTCAACGTATTACTAGCGCATTTAGAAAAGCAAATGGGTAGAGTTAAGTGGGGAGGGATAATGCTAGGAGGGAAGAGGGTGTATACTTTGGCTTATGCGGATGATGTAGTGCTAATTGCGGAGGACGAGGACCAAATGAGGAGCATGCTAGAAAAACTAGAAGGGTACCTGGGAAGAAAGAGATTGGAACTGAACGTGGGGAAAACAAAAATAATGAGGTTTAGGAAAGGAGGAGAGAGATATAGTAAGAGAAGGTGGAGATGGGAAGGAAAAGAGTTAGAAGAGGTGAAGAAATTTCGGTATTTAGGGTATGTGTTTTAATGGAACGGAGGACAGGAAGCGCAAGTAAGGGAAAAGATCAAGAAGGCGGCCGCGGTGATGGGGAAGGTTTGGGGAATAGGGAAAAGGAGATTTGGGAAAGACTGGGGAAAAAGACTGTGGCTGTTTGATAGACTGGTATGGACGGTGTTGGGATATGGAGCGGAAATATGGGGGATGGAATAAAAGGGAAAGAATGGAAAGGATAGAAGAAAGGTATATTAGATGGGTCTTAGGGGTGGACGGGAGGACACCGTGGTATCTTGTTAGGGAGGAGCTGCAAAGGGGAAAGTTAAGAAGGAGAGCAGGGATGAGGGCATGGAAATTTGAGGAAAAGTTAGAGAAGGGTAGAGGAAGTGAACTGGCGAGGCTATGTCGGGAAGAGCTGAAGAGAAGGGAGAAGGAAGGGAAAGCAGGCTCAAGCTGGGAAAGAGAGAGAGGAAAGTTCTTCGAAGACAGAGGAGTGGAGTTAAAAGAGTTGGAAAGGCTGAGAGGAGATGGTAGAGATGAATAGTTTATTAAGCTGTTTAGAGGAGATAAGGAGACGCAAAGGAAAGAGAGATGGGAGAAGATTGAGAAATCAGATTATAATAAATGGTACAAGTTTATAAAAGAAGAGGGTATCCCGGGATATCTGAAGAAGGGATGGGGTGAAAGCAGATGGAGAAGGGTGGCGAGATTTAGATTAGGGAATGAAATGAGAGAAAGCAGTTACTAAGAAGTGGAAGAGAAAAAGAAATGTAGGTTATGTGAACATAGGGAGGAATCGTGGGAGCATGTATGGGAAGAATGTAGGAGATAAGAATCAGGAAATGGAAGTTGGCAGGAAGCGGTGGGATGGGTATTGGATGAGGAAGGGGGAGGAGAGGAATGGATGATAGAACTAGAGGGGGAAAGAATGAGAGGAAAAGGGGAGTCGGAGGAGTTAGAAGAAGGAGGATGGGAAAAAGAGGAAGTGGGCTAAATAGAGAAGAGCTGAGACGGGAAGGAAGGAGGCTGAAGGACGGAGTCGCGGCAGAAACGGAGGAAGAAAAAGAGGGATGAAGAGGATTACGGAGAGGGAGGGTAAACGTTTGTGAGGTCACAAATGGCCAGGCATAGGGAAATTGAGTTTTTTGTAAAAGGTTTGGGTACGTTCCTCATAAAAACGCCTTGTAAACCCTGCGGGAAAATACAATAAATATCATACATACATAATTTAGGAAAAAATACGACAGAAATAAAAAAGCAGCGCCAAGTTTTTTTACAAAAAAAATTTATTTTATTATGATTAAATATTTTTATTTTATACTGTTACCTCTTTAATTCCTTGTGATTAAAATAATTCTTTGTAATATTATAATTTTATTAAGGAGAATTAAAGCTACTACCACTTGGGTTGGAATAGGAAGACCCTTGAATGGGAACACAAAGATATGTACCACTTGGGTTTTATTTTTTAAAAATAGTTGCATAACAATTATTATTTGAAACAATATATATATTCTCTTTGCAATTGGCGCACATTTAAAGATTTTACATCTTTTTTTGAAATACATATCACTTGAGTTGAGTTGGGTAACGTAATTTTGTGATATAATAATTTTGTTAAAGAGAAGTAAAGCTACTACCACTTAAGTCGGATTTTTAGATTTACAACATTGTGCGTGTACTTGGCGCCTTTTTTACCTTTTTTGAATTTGATTTTATAAAAAATAGTAAAAATCAGACATTCTGAAATGATATGTACATGTTTTCGAAGTACACACCATAAAGTTACTATTTGAACAAAAACCTATTTTTTTTTTACGAAAACTGTATAAAACTTTGTGTAAACAATCATTTATTATATCATTAACCACTTTTTAAGAATTGATTTTTGTTCAAATAGTAACGGTGCACATTTAGAGAACACCTTTACAATGTTCAATGTATAATCTTTAGAATATCTGATTTTTGCTATTTTCTACAAAATCAAATAAAATTAAGTAAAAATTTTTCATCATAGTATACTAAAATAAAATTGCCAAATGTCTTCTATTCAACGCAGTTTTATTTTTGCCGATACCCGTATGAGTTATAGAATAAAAGTTGAATAATTTCAGTACCTAACTTCTCGAAGGACACCCTTGTTGGATTACGGTTGAGCGTTGAGCGAGCGTCCTTTTGTTCGATGCGACGTTCTTTTGTCTTATGTTTTTTCGGGCGGCGTGATCGCCGGTTGCGACAGGATTCGCGGCAGTAGCACAACGCGCGCCGTAAAAGTAAGAGCTAAGAAACAAATGTAGCATTTTCTTATATGTATTTCACGAATTAATTATACCCGTGCCTATTAATGTAACACCCTGTACATGCAGAATAACTAGAAGAATCATATTATGTAAAAAAAGAATCATACAATTCCATTTCAAAAACGAATTCTTCTTGGAAAGGTCTAACTTGACCTTTGCATCTCCTCCACATCTCCACCTACGAAAAACCTATTGACATCAGAAAACAAAAATTTAACGCATGATAAAATTTTATTTTAGAATGGAATTTCTTGACTTCCTACTAAACTGATTTTTAAACAGCGTGGGTAGTTTTCTGCAAGAATATATATTTTTCGTTTTGTATTAATGATCATACTTAATTGTTTAAGCAAACGGACATATATGTCTCCTTACATTCAAAGAATTCTGAAAAATATTTATATTTGCGTAAATGTTTAAATAAATATTTTGCTAAACAGTAGTGTGTTATTTTATTTACTGTCAGAAAGAAACTTTTTTATACATCCATGAAAAATATTTTATTAAATACTTTTTAATATTTACCATGATTATTTTATTTTACAATTTAGTATAACATAATTTAATATATATTAATTACAATATCAATGCAATTATTATGACATTTTCTATATTCAAGTTATATTCACTTCTTTACATTAACATTATATGCAGTAACTGCACGCAAAGTTTGTTAATGTTTCTACGACTTACGCATGTTTACTCTTGCGTAAATTAGATGTAGTGTACATATAATTATAATAAAAATTAATCAATAGTTTTATTACAAAGAATATACTTAACAATATTATGAAGAAACTAAGAAACAAAAATGCGTAAACATCAATCAGATTTTGTTCCACCCAGCTCTGAGATCTCAGCGGCGTCACTAAAGTTCCATTTGGATGGCGAACGGTGTATTCAATGCCCCAAATAGCTAAATCTAATGGCGGTATTGGCCGATCCCGGAATTCGCTAGATAATCGTTTCATGTTTCTCGTATAACTGTACAAAAAAAAGTTTGACTATTAATGATGTAATAAAAAAATTACGTTTTAATAAAGAAATCTTAATTAAAGGAAAATCCAAATATATTACAAGACACATAAACAGGAAAGTCAAATTTTATAATTTATTATCTTATAAGAAATTGTTTTTACAGGAATTTGTAAATCGATTATACTATGTATATTAAACATTAGAGTTTAGACATTATCTGAAATGTAGCTATATTGTTAATATTTACTGCTTAAATAATAATTATTAAAACATGATAAAAATATGATACCTTTCATTGTAAAGTACTTCTTCAGCTGCGCGTAATATGGATTGCGTGGACAAAGTTTTAATGTCCAACTGTATGCCAACACCTTTAGCTACTAATATTCTTGCATTGGATTTTTGATCTATAATGAAAGGCATTACGATCATTGGTATACCTTTCCAAATAGCTTCCTGCGTACTCAGAAGACCACCATGTGTCCAGACTGCTCTTACATTTTTATGAGCTAAACACATAAAGATAATTATTAAATAAGTATTAACTCTCAACTATGGAAATCTTACATAGATACATACATATTATTAGCTATACATATCCCGATTAAACTAATGTGATAAACTTTTTAATCAACAATTTTGTTGCCTGTACCTCATTTTTAAACAAAAAGCGAGTTGTTCTTATTGTATCTATCTATATATATAAAGGAAGATGTCCTGACTGACTCACTGACTGACTCATTAACGCCCAGCCCAAACACCTGAACCGAATTTTTATCAAAAGTATATGAAATAGGGGTAGAATTTTCCGGGAAGTGCCACTATGTGTATAGTTTTTTGTTACCGATTTTCTGGAAACCGGTTTTTCTAATTCTTCTAATTTTTCGGGAAATAATTGACCAAATCTCAAAGAATTATAGATCTAACAGGGGTAGAATTTTCCGGGGAGTGTTATAAAGTGTATAATTTTTCGTTACCGATTTTTTTGGAAGCCGGTTTTTTTAATTTTTCCAATTTTTCGGGAATTAATTGATTGAATCTTGAATAATTACATATGAAGTAAGGGTAGAATTTTACGGGGAGCGCCATGATGTGTACAGTTTTTGTTACCGATCTTTTTGGCAACGGTTTTTTTTAATTTTTCCAATTTTTCGGGAAATAATTGATTAAATCTCAAAGAATTATACATGAAGTAGGAGAGACCGAGCGTAGCCTAGTAGACAGCGCACTGGTCTATTGAAGCAAAGGTCCCGGGTCCGAGGTTCCCGGTAGAGCTAGGAAAAAAAATATATATATATATATATATATATATTTTTTAAATATATATATATATATATTCGCTCGTTTTCCTCTCGGAAGGCAATGGCAAACCACTGAGAGTATGTCTTGCCAAGAAAAACTTCTCTAAATATAGCCGTTCGGAATCGGCGTTAAACTGTAGGTCCCATGTACAATGTGTATAATCCGCACCCGCAGCACATGTATATGAAGAGAAGTCGCCAACGTCCGAAGCGGGCATAGTGCTTAAGAAGAAGAAGGAGTAGAATTTCCCGGGGAGTGCTATAAAGTGTAGTATTTTTTGTTACCGATCTTTTTGGAAACCGGGTCCGAATTACCGAATCTCAAAGAATTGTACATAAAACAAGGGTAGAATTTTCCGGGGAGTGCTATAAACTGTATAGTTTTTCGTTACCGATCTTTTTGGGAACCGATATCTTTATGGAAATCGGTTACGAAATTTTTCCAATTTTTTAGGAAATAATTGAATGAATCTCAAAGAATTGTATACGACGGAATTGAACTTCAGTTGATAAAAAAGTAATATTTTTCAATTTATAGCATTTTAGAGAGAGAGAGAGAGAGAAAGAAAGAGAGAGAGAGAGAGAGACTATTTGCGTGTCTTATTACATAATATATGTCCTCCGGGGCAAAGCCCGAATAACCAACTAGTAACATATAATTGTAATAACTAAAAATTAAAATTGTCTCACAATAAGTGCAAAAAAATTATAAAATAAAATAAAATGATAAAAATAATGATGAGGAAAGACACCTCCAATGACCTCGACCTCATATGTTGTCAAGGACATGATCCTGAGCAGAGATAGGAAAATAACTTTTTAAAAGTAACTAGTTACCGTTACTCGTTACGAGTCAAAAAAGTAACGGTTATATACCGTTACTATAAGTTACTGATTCTCAAAAGTAACTCGTTACCATTACCGTACGTTACTTAAAAAAAAAGTGTGCAAGTAGAAACTTGCACATTGCTTCCTCATAGTTTTTAAGTGTGCAAGTAGAAACCTGCACATTGCTTCTTCATAGTTTTTAAGTGTGCAAGTAAAAACCTGCATATTGCTTCCTCATAGTTTTTAACTAGGCAAATAGAAACTTGCACATTGCTTCCTCATAATTTTTAACTATGCAAATCATAAATTTGAACATTATTTCCTCACAATTTTTAAGTATGCAAATTATAAATTTGCACATTGCTTGATCAACATTTTATTTCACTCATAAAGCTTTCTTTATAAAGAAGCCTGTTTTTTTATGCATAATTATTAGTCGATATTTATTAATTTGGCTTCCTCATAGAGGAAGCTTTATGAGCGAAATAAAATGTTGATTAAGCAATGTGTAAATTTATAATTTGCATACTTAAAAATTGTGAGGAAATAATGTTCAAATTTATGATTTGCATACTTAAAAATTATGAGAAAGCAATGTGCAAGTTTCTACTTGCCCACTTAAAAACTATGAGGAAGCAATGTGCAGGTTTCTACTTGCACACTTAAAAACTATGAGGAAGCAATGTGCAAGTTTCTACCTGGACAATTCTTTTTATTGTGATAAAGCTTTATTGCAACTAATATCTGTTATACTAATATCTGTTATACTCTTACAAAAATCAATTAAATAATTAATATTTTTACTAAAATGATCCCTACTAATTGCAAATATATCTTATTTCCATTTTGTTCAATACCAACCTTTTTTAATGATACTCTATATAAAATTACATGTATAAGTTATGCATGTAACTTTTTAAGCAGAAATCGGTAACTCCTTCACCGATCTTCGCAAAATTCAAAAGAACCTTCCTTTAATAATAATCTATATAAAATTACATGTACATCTTATACACTTTTTAAGCAGAAATCGGTAATCCCTTCACCGATAATCGCCAAATTATATACTTTTTAAGCAGAAATCGGTAATTCTTTCACCGATCCTCGCCAAATTCACTAACAATCTTCCTTTAATGATACTCTATCCATCAAATAACTTAGGATAGACCGAGGCGAATCGGAATACTAATTAGCACGATAAAATAGTTTTTTTGAAATAAAACACTAACAAAAACTGTCTTAACCCATTGGCTGTGTAAGAGAATTTTACTATTTGGGCCAAAAGTGTGTTAAAAAAAAAGTTCATCGGATTATTATGAAACTTGATACCCTTATGTTTTTTGGGTCTCTAAATCCGAATATGATGTCAGATTTACAAAATTCAAAATGGCGGGTCTAATATGGCGGATCAAAATTACAAAAAATAGACGGAATTTTATTATTATTATTTTAAATTTTGAAAATCTGACTTTATATTCGGATTCAGAGACCCAAAAAACATAAGGGTACCAAATTTTATGAAAATAAGACCTTTTTTGGTAATTTTGATCCGCCATATTGGATCCGCCATTTTGAATTTTGTACATCTGACTTCAGATTCATAATCAGCGACCCCAGAAACCCCCGAGTAACAAGTTTGAAGCAAATTCAGAAAGTTTTACTTTGTTTTTTCTACGTTGCGGCTATAGCCGTCATACACACTCTTGGCCACTTTTGTTTTTGCGGCTATAGCCGTCATACACAGTCAACGGGTTAAAACTTATATTAATCCGATACACTTTTTAAGCAGAAATCGGTAATCCCTTTATTATTAGCAATTTTTATTAATTCTATTATATTTTTCAGTTTTTTCTACCCCTATTTCATATATAATTCTTTAAAATTTAGTTAGTCAGTTCTTGAGTTATAGAAATTTCGGTAAATTTGACTGTTTTTTTTTTTACAGAAATCGGTAACCTCTTTATTATTAGAAATTTTTATTAATTCTATTATATTCTTCAGTTTTTTCTACCCCTATTTCATATATAGTTCTTTAAAATTTGGTTAATTAGTTCTTGAGTTATAGAAATTTCGGTAAATTTGGCACATACATACATACATACATACATCGGACACTCTTTAAAATTACGATTTTCTAACGTTTTTGAACATAAGGAACACATTGGCATCGAAAACTAAAAAAAAACAATTTTTTCTTCGGTCTTTTCTACCCCTATTTCATATGTATTTCTTTAACATTTGGTTGATTAGACCTAGTTTTATATAGGATCAAAGGTCCATATACGAAGTTTATGAAAACAAAGCTTCCTCTATGAGGAAGCAAAATAACAATTTATTAGCAATAGCTAATTAAACAAATGTTACGTAGAAATATACAACTCATGTTTCTCGTACATTCATAGAAACTAGAAAACGTACATAAAACTTCGCTTTGAGGCATCCATTTCACAACCATTACATTTTTGGGCATCTCAAATGGCACTTCAATATCTAGCTTCCACAGCACTCGTTGTTTTAGTTTCGACAGAGCCAATATAACGGTTTTAACCGTATCTAAATTGAAATGTTTCCATTTCACATTCGTTCCTAACGATATTACGATGGCTCCATTCTTTGCTCCGTCAAGAAATATGCGCACATCCTTCAAAATAATGATGAACTAAAGGCCTCCGCACAATAAAAAATATAAGGAACAAGGACCAGATATTAGCGATTAAAACTAAAGAATAAAGTTGAATGCACGATAAAAAATACAGACAACAGAAACAGGGAATAACACAGGCAATAGATTTTTAACCTATCGGAAGCCGTGTATTAATGCTACACCAGCTTCATTTCTGATTTCTTGTTTCTAATCGCTAATCTGTTCCTTGTTCCTTAATTATATTTTTTATTGTAGGGAGGCTTTTAATATTTCGATAATATACAAAAATATGTGTCTTAATGACGATATATAATCGTAAGTAACTGATACATTTTAAACGGATTATATCTAAGCAGAAATTATATTATGTTTAAATAAGATTTATGCGGCATTTTTTTAGAGAAGTCGTTGTTATAAATAGAATATTATTATAAGAAATATTTTTACATTTCTAAATTTAGCAATATTCCGTGAAATATTTATTTTCTGCTTACAATTCACTGACTATTATAAAAATTAATAATTAATTAATAATATAAATTATATTACAGAGGATTGCAATTTTTTCATTAATAGAATATAGATATTAAAAATATAGCATATTTAATATGTTTTTTAATTATTAATTTCTACACAGCATCCATGTTTAAAAAATGTCTTTACAACGTCTTATACACATATAACCAACCCAGGCACCGTTTAGGTTAATTATATATGTTTCAAAATAACAGTTTTTGCAAGCGTTTATTTCTTATATAATATAATGTTATACATATATAAAAAATAAACGCTTGCAAAAACTGTTATATAAATTTAAAACTATATAAGAAATTATCGATTTTTAATAAGAACAAAATTATATCTATTCTTGATTTAATTATTTATTCAGATTGTTGCTAATTAGAACAGTATTTGTTATAATATAATATAATAGAACGGAACAATCTGTGTAACACAAGAAGGAATGATAAGTCCTAGTTCGAGAATCTTTGAATACATAATATGCAGGGTGTTGAAAAAAGTGATACTAAATTTTAGGAGTATGTAGTACTCACGAACAAACCGAAAAGTCTTAGTAACCTTATTCCAAAAACTATTTATTTCTGAGTTATAAAGCATTTTCTACAGCAAACGTTCAATGCTCTCCGTTCATTTCAACACAATTCGGCATTTGCTCATTAAAAATCGAATACGTTCAAAAATTTTAGGTTTATTTCGTATTTGAAAAGAATTTTCAATTTGTTGTATATCAGTTCATCCAATGTGTCAACTGATGTGACGCACATTATGTTCTATAAATACCCCCATAAATAAAAATCTAACTGATTTAAATCCGGTGAGCGAAGTGACCATACAACTGGATCGCCACGTCCTATCCACTTTTTTTGAAAACAATTGCTGAAATGTTGTCTAACAAGCAATTATGAGAAAATGCGCAGGGACACCAACGTGCATGATTCAAACCACATTTGTTGTTGTCACGTAAAAAAGGAACATTCGACAATGTATATTATTCGTCGTCAACCTTATAGAAGCTCGTAAAGGAGTATACGAGCGGTCGCGTGTAAATACGTTATCGAATGCATACTCGTAAAACGAACAGAGAATACATCGAATGTTTTATAACTCAAAAATAAATGGTTTTTGGAGTAATATTGTTTAACACTTTTCGGTTTGTTTTTACGAATACTATACATACTCTTAAATTTGGTACCACATTTCTTTAAACACTCTGTATAATACATGATATATAATACATAATAATACATAATAAACCAGAGTTTCGTTGAAATTCCATTTCAGTAATTAACCGACTTCAAAAAGGAGGTGCTGTATTCGGCGAGTATGTATGTACCCACACAGCAAAATATATCACCAAGATATCTAGAAGATATCTGAATGACGGAATATCTGATTGCACAAGATATCATGAGAATATCTCAGAGACATCTCCAAGATTATAAAAAGCAATGATAATTTTATCTCAGATATGATATCTGATTCTGCATATATGTCGGATATCTATGCCTCATTTAAAAGCAGATATGTTACGCCCAAACACCGAAATTGCTCAGTGAGCGAAAAAAACATCCACAACGCGTTGTGGACGGTGCTGATCGTCCACAACGCGATGTGTGCATTTGAGAAACGTCCACAACGCGTTCTGCATAACTTGCGTGTACTTTAAGTTATAAAGCGAGGTCCACGCTGCCTACCGGCGGAGGTGGGTGCGGGAGGCCCCCTCCTTGCACCCCCCGCGTGTGTGTGTGTGTGTGTGTGTGTGTGTGTGTGTGTGAGTGACGCGCTTTAAAAGTATTTAAGTGTTTAAAGCGCGTCACTAACCTATATAAATTAGTGACGCGCTTTAAACACTTAAATAACTATTATATCACACGTGCGTCGAAAGTGGCCCATTCCGTGCGCGCCATCTGTACGCGAAATAGCCAATTCCATGCATGAAAAATGTCATTCCTGCACGACTCATTGCCAACACTTTCCTTATTTTCCCCACTCATTCTGTGTCTTTTCCACTAGAGTCCTCTTATTTCTGACATGTTCTTAACGACATCTCGCGGCGCACTACGCGAAACATTACACGTATTTCCGTGCGCCGCGAGATGTCGTTAAGATTCTTCAACTTCAATGCTACGCGAATTACCACAGCGATACTCAGACATAACCTTTCTTGACACGAGTGACACGTACACAGTAAAGTCATTGTGAGCATACACAGTAAAGTGAACATACACAAATTCGAAAATGAGTAACATCATACCAGAAACGCCAGAAACCGAGACCGACGGCCAACTAACACCTCAAGAAATAACACAAA